GGCTCTTAAGGTTTCAAAAAATATTAGACTCTTAAGGTTTCAAAAATATTTAATATTTTGGACTTTTAAAACACAGGCTCCAAGGCTTAAAAGTATTTAAAAATTTGAGCATTAAAATTTAGGCTCCTAATGTATTAAAACTATTTGAATTTTTTAGCTTTAAAATTTAGACTGTTAGGGTTCAAAATGATTCAGGCTGAGAATTTTTGAAACTTTAAAAGCTTGCCACCAAGTTCTCAATATAATTTCCTAACGAATAGAAGGCAATCCTTAAAGAGCTAAAAATGAGATTTTACATGTATTCCAAAAGCTCTAATATCAACATAAATTAAATATAAATTTGGCTAATTTCATGGCATGCCTTGAGTGTTTTGATTTGAATGTGGATATTATATATATATAAATATATATATATATATATATATATATATATATATATATGCATGTGTGTTTTGCTATCAATTGTACATTCAGACTATGCACATACATCCTTACCACAATAATATTTGTGTTACTAACAAGTTGGTAATATTTTTAAAACACGTAATATTTTTTAAAATATTTTTCAACTCTAATGTAGTATCTCAAAAGACTTGTAAGTACTTGTTAATTCTTGTGTCCTTGTTGAAATATCAAATTATACATTACAAGAAAATAAATTATGTAATCACATCTTATAAGTGTGCCAAAATTCATAAAATCACATTAAGCAAAGGCATCAAGATGTATGCATATTAACAAAAAACACCCTCATGTACTCCACCAAAATAAACTAAGTATTTTAAATTGAAGGGATTGAGAATGCTATGTAGGTTAAAATAAAATCTTCACTCAAATCTCTATTATTTTTTAAAGGTGTACAAAATTACTTTTCAAACATTCTATCTATTTTAAAATTATAAAATCTCTATAGTGATATCACACTCGACATAATTTGGTTATGTAAACTCTCATCGGGTTTCCCTGTCTAGAGGGCAGGGTTGTAGTCCTATCCAACTAGTATAATCATCTTCGCAAAGACTGGAATTAATGAATCAAACAAATTTAATAAGACATATCCAATTCATAAAAATAAGAATTTATAAGTCCAAATCAGCAAACCCTCCTTATAAGAACATGAGATGACTAGATTTATATCTTAAAAAGCCTAAACTAACAAACTCAAATTTCTTCAAATATAAAAGTTTAAATGTTTAAATCTCCAATGATGGTCATGTTGATTATGAATTTCAATCGAAGAGTTCAATTCTTAAAATCAAGATTTTCAAAATAACCAACTAAAATATTCAAATAAAATCAATCACTTAAAAAATTAAAGCAAACTATAATAGTTTGTCGAGAGTGACAAACTCCTAATTAACTTCGGCTCACAAAAATGAATGTCTTATCAAATGCACCAATATATTCACAATCAAAGAAACTGCATGTTAGTAAGGATGTGACTCGAATCTTATGTCTGAGTGGTTCTATAGTTAAATGGCACCACAAAGTAACTTACGACTATAGCCCTCTAAACGAGTGGATGCCGCAAAATGAAAACATTATAATACGGTCATGACCACAGCCCGTATGTTCTCCAACGGCTTTCTACCCTTTGATTTGTGAAACATAAGAGTATAATTGATTGGCAAAAAGCCTTCTGTCAGCTAAATTCAACTTAAATTGTCCTCTTACACAAGCATCCACCCTAAATCTATAAAGATCTCTTGGATAACGCAACATATGGTTGCCGATAAGAATTTTTCAATCAGGTTAGGCCAACTACCGCCTCTGAATAAGTAGATCATAGACCATGACAATATGGGATGACGGGACCATGAGATCTTGATGAGGTTACATCATTGTTTCCCTCACCATCCGCTTTAAGATTTAAGTGATAAATTTTGCAACTTAAATCCTAAATTTGCTAATATTATATGTTGAATATTTAATTCTTAATGACTAACCGTAATTGAAAGTGTAATCCTATTATTGGGAGAGATAATTAACCATAAGTGTTTGTGCTTATGAAAAACTTGAACACCATATCTAAAAGTCCTCTCAAAATGAGGGCGAATCTCTCGGTGTCTCAAGTTGAATACAAACTGCCTTCTAATAATTTTACAGTTCAAAGCATTCTCAACAACAAATAAAAAATAAAAATAAGAGTTCGGAGAGGAGTTGAAATTTTCAGAGCCCACAAAAACACCTCTTCATGTTTTGATGGTTACCTATTCTCACCTAAAAGCTTTCTCTTTTACTATATCACTTAAAATCGTTGGGTTTGTATCCTTTGTTCACGTCCATTCCCAAAATCATACAAAACCTGATAAAAACCCTTACCCAAAATTTATAAAATGTTTTTTTTTTTTTTTTTTGTTATGTCACTAAAAAAAAGAAATATAAGTGCTACACTCCTGTTCATGAATGTCACTTTTTTTTTAAATCAATTCTACTGCCTCAAATCTGTTGTTCAGGGGGAGAATACAACTGAAAATCAATTTTTAGATATACTTGATGACAACTGCACAGCCTCACCACCAACTCCACTTAGTCCTCCTATCTCAGTTGAGGATGCCCGATCAACGCAATCAACACAATCAACTCAACCTAAAGTCCAAAACAAAGAATTTCGTGTGTATACAAGGAGAAAAAAAAAACTTTCAACGATTGGAAGACAACTTACAAGGGCATAATTGCTCAAACCAATATCCAGGTCCGCATTGGCCAAAAATTTTTTTAGTAAAGAGGACTCCAGTACTCATGAGTCATCCTCATCTTCTTCGAATGTTGATGACAAAGAAAACTGCATTTGATATTCAATTCAAGAGCATGCCGCTTATTGGAAGCTATCCTCGTCGTATAAATCTTTTGTTTATCACATTGATGGTATGCAAATTCCTAAATCCATTCATGAAATTCTTGAAAATCCAGAATGAAGAAAAATAATTGAAGAAGAGATTCGAGCACTAAAGCTTAATGATACAAAGATTCTTACTAAACTCCCTCGAGATAAGAAGTATGTTGTGTGCAAATGAGTGTTCAACATCAAATATAAAGTTGATGGAAGTACTGAGAGATTCAAAGTCAGCGTTGTTATAAAAATTTTCTCTCAAGCCAATGAGGATCTGGAAGAAGTGTATATTGAGATACCAACAAGGCTTGTGAATGATTCCAAAAAACACCAAGTATGCAAATTCAGAATATCTCTCTACAGGTTTAAGCAATCGCCAAGAGCGTGATTTGAAAACACACTCAGAAAGAAAAGATTGATGCACTAATAATATATGTGGATAATATGATTCTTACAGGTGTCGATGAAAGAAAGATTCTCCAGATTAAAAAAGTGTTTGTCAAAAAGTTTGAAATCAATAACCTAGGAATCAGGGAATCAGGAGATATTTTTTAGGCATGGAGGTAACAATCCAAGAAATGCATCATTATATCATGGAGAAAATACATCATAGATCTACTAAAATAAATGAGGATGATTGGATGCAAGTCAGATGATACTCCAACGAATCCCAATCATAAGAGACAGGAAAAGAAAGATAAGAAAAGATGTCAATGATTGGTAAGAAGATTTATCTATTTGCCGCATATGAGGCCAGATATTGCATACTCTGTAAGTATTGTGAACCAACACATAAATAGCCTAATAAAGAGCATTTCAAAATAGCGTACAGAATTATGAGATTTCTCAAAAAAACTCGTTATGAATCAATCTTTATAAAAACCAAGAACAGTGAGTTGGAAGTCTATACTGATGATAGTTGCGTTGAAAAACTCACAAATAGAAGGCCGCCACTAGTTACTACTCCTATGAATGGGGAAATCTGATAACATGAAAATGTTAAGAAGTAAGTTGTCCTTTCTAGAAGTAGTGCAGAATCAAAATATAGGGCATTCGCACTTGATAATCTATGAAGGAATATGAATTCAAAAATTATTAAAGAAACTACGATGTATCTCCAATAGGCATATACAGATGTTTTGTGACAGTCAGACAGCTATCAATATTTCCACTTGTGCATCCTAATAAAATCAAGTATATTGAAGTTGATAGACACATCATCTCTGAAAAAGTAATAAGGTAATTATATAGCTAAGTTACATCCTGACACACCAACAATTTGTTGATGTCTTCACCAAAGCTCTTCCTTTAAGCACATTTTCAGTGTTCAATATCAAGCTTGGTCTCTACAACATCCATTACCTACTTGAAGGAAAGTGTGGAAACCTGAGATCTTGCGGAGGATTTGATTAGGACAACTTAGGAAACTCTTGATATGTTTATTCCCTTCCTATTTTACGTTATTTTTATTTTTAATTCAGAATTATTTCCTTTGCTAATTCAAATTAGATATATTTGGAAAGTTGGTAAATTAGCAGAGATTGTTTGCCCTATATATATAT